ATTTAATTGGCTGTCATTAAACTGCCTATTTATTACCTAATTTATCTTCTCAGTAGGTCTATATTTTGCTCTGATGAAGGCTCCTCATATTTATTTCAGTCTACTTTACAAAGTTGAATACAAGGTGAGCATGAAAATTAGATCAGGTGGTACACATTATCATTAATCTACCGCATTTCTTCCATCTGTAACGTGTTTTTCAAAGTTGGTCCTTTGACCAGCATCACAAGCATAACCAGAAACTAGTGAGAAATGCAGATTTTGAGGTGCCAACACTTGGTTTCGTTCGGCTCAGGTCATGATCTCATGGTTCGTGGGTCCAAGCTCCACATAGGGCTTCGCCCTGTCTCTCTCTCAAAATAAATAAATAAACGTTAAAAAAAAAAAAAGAGTTTTAAAGATACCCTTTGTGGGGCGCCTGGGTGGCGCAGTCGGTTGGGCGTCCGACTTCGGCCAGGTCACGATCTCGCGGTCCGTGAGTTTGAGCCCCGCGTCGGGCTCTGGGCTGATGGCTCAGAGCCTGGAGCCTGTTTCCGATTCTGTGTCTCCCTCTCTCTCTGCCCCTCCCCCGTTCATGCTCTGTCTCTCTCTGTCCCAAAAATAAATAAAAAACGTTGAAAAAAAAAATTAAAAAAAAATAAATAAAGATACTCTTTGTTATTTAAGACTATTTAATCAGCAGAGGGCACTGCAGTAATTCTTAGGAAATTTTGTTAAATCTATATAGTCAAATTACAGTCATATAGATATTAATACATAGGTTATGCTCTGTTGATAAAAATATGTCTAGAAAAATAAAGAAAAGCACTATACTAAGTGGTTTTTCACAGTCACCATGAGTAAAAGGAATTTCTGCACATTTACATTTAGCTAATATGTGTCCTGTACATATTTAAACCACATGGCCCGTTAGCAATAACATTTTTTGATATTGTTTTTCCTGTGAAATTAAAATGGATCTGAATTTCATTGGCAAGTTCTCGGAGCTATAAAATTATTGTTTATAACACCCTTTTTTTGCAACTTGAACAGTCTATGAAGCACTTTCTGACTTTAATGTGTCTTAAAAGTGTCTTTGATAAAAAGATCACAATAAGTGGTTTTCCCTAGGTGGTTTCATAGTTTAGAAAGTATTTAGCAACTTTCATAGTTTAGAAAGTATTAAGAAGTTAAATATGAAATGTTTTATTTAAAGAGAGTGGCTAAATCCAATTAAACCTCATTATTTTGGACTCCACTAGTTCAGAAAAGGTTATATGTGAAGTAGGAATATAAACTTCTCCTACTGCTCAAGGAAACAAAGATAATGTATAAGAAAGTTAGAAACAATTTAATTTAAAATTTTCAAACTTTTAATGGCATTCTTTTTTGCCACTCATTATGAATAGCCTATTGATAATGAATGCTTGTTACCTACTCATTAACAGGCACAGATAAAGCTACACTTATTAAAACCATTCTTCTGTTTCTATGATCTACTAATTTAGACACAATTTTCTCATTTCCTCTAAATTAAGTTTTATTCCATTGCTCTTTGCCACCTTCTTGTACCTTTTCATTTATGGTTTATAGATGTTTTTACCCGGCTCTTGCCCTGTTGTCCACCTTCCAACTCCCACTTCATTTGGCTGCTTGTTCCTTTTAGATCCAGTATTTCAGTATTCTGCTCCCTGCCTCCCACTTGCCAGTGTTCTTACATTTAGGTTCTTGCTCTCCATTCTCTTTCCCCTCATCTTTGCTTCTCAACCACTGTTTCTAGGTTTCATTTCTGGATTTTTGTATGTTTCCTATTTTCTAACTGTTATAATCAATCAAAACTGCAAGGAAGTAAGGTGGATTAGAAAGAAGAGGCACAAAGAGAATTACCATGTATTGAATGCCTAATCTATGCTAGGTTATTGACTTGTATCATTTAGTTCTCCTAAGATGTAGGTATGTTTCATTATTATCTCCATTTTATTCATAAGTACACTGAAGCTCCAAGAGGTTAAATATTTTGTTCTAATTCACAGAGCAACTATGTGATAAAGCTGGGTTTCAAACCTATATTGGTTCATTTATTCATTCTTTTATTCAACAAATATTTATTGAGTACACATACTATATGTTGAGCACTGTCCTAGGTGCTGCAATACATCCAGCTCTTACTCTCATGAACTGTAACTGTTGTCACTGTCTGACTTCACAGATGGTGATCTTTCTGCTATACTAAACAGCTTTAGAGGAAGAGAAAATACAAAGGAAATAGAAGGGCTCTAATGTTTTATGGAAAAGATAATATTTGATATAGATGTAAAAAAAGGACTGTTCTGTGTGTTACTTAGAAATATCTTGTGTGTATGTATGCATATATATGTGTGTATATATATATACGCATCCTTCAAAGAATTCAGAAATTAATATTGTTATCATTCTTTTCATTGGTTTCATTTTTGTTCAACAAGAGAATGATAAAAAATGTATATATCCAATCAAAAATGCTGGTTTGTGTTTAGTCCTAGAAAGAGTGTGACACTTCTGCACTCACCACTGTAGACACCACTGCCTTTTAGTGGCATCACCAAAGTATCTGTTTTTCTTTTATGTTCTAAAACAAGTAAAATTTGTGTCTGGAGGCCCAGATTATCTAGACGGCTTCACCTTTAATTGTCCTCCCTAAATTACATTTAGAAAAAGATGGAAGACCTCTGTGTAAAGAATACGTTTATTCATCCATCCATTCATCATCCATATATTTATTAATACTCTGAAAAGATATTTAGGATGGTTTGCCCAAATACATGAAACAAAAATAGACCTTTTAATAGAATAAATGTGGGAAAATAAGGAAAGGAAAAATAAGGTGAAATTAGGTTGTGTCCTCTACTAAAAAGGATACACAGATTTGACTCTTCTCAAGGGTAACTGATTCATAAGCATCATAATTAAAAACAAACAAACAAACAAAAACTGGTAGCCCAGGGGAGTACCCATTCCTAAGTATGACACTTGAGAGAAAGTTTCTCATATAGCTCCTCCTAAAGAGGATCACAGTGCAAAGTGGTATACGATGGCCTTAAATACTTCCTAATATAAATCCGAGTTTCACTGAGCCATTTCATTGGATCCAGTTGCATATAGTAAAACAATTCTTAGAACAGTGAGAAGAAGCATTGTAGGTAGACCACTGTGGTCCAGCCAAATCCAGTGGTTTATTTTAGAGAATCTATAAAAATTAGTGAATTACATCTCTTGTAGATAGTTCTCATTTACAATTTGTCAATCAGGTTTTTCATGTGGTAGGTGACGGTGAATTTACACACTCTTAGAAGTTTGTTTTATTCACTACTGTAACATCAATTCTAGAATACTACCTAGGGCATATTAGATGCTTAATAAATATTTGTTGCGTGGATGGATAAATGTTTTTGAGGTATCTGTTTAAGTGAAAGACTTCTCAGCTATTTTAATATTTTCTTCCTTTGTCCTTAAATAATGTATGCTACTATACTTTGGAGTACATCATCTTTATATGGATCCCAAATTCATTAAATGTTGAACACTGTTTATGTGACTTTTTCAAGCAGATGATGAAGTAAATGTTAGCCCTGTCCAAAGAATTCTTTTAAGATTGTTCTCAGTAATATGACATACTTGATTTTTAAGACTCTAAGATTTACAGTCTCTAAGTAAAGGTTACAAACATCAATAAAGCAGTTTATCACATGGAAATAGTGTTTCTTCTCAGGAGACCTCAGAATCAGACTAGAAAGCTGAGTTTGGAAAACCAAGGAGAGATTCTGGATAATGCTAGCTTGGCATTATTTTAACTATATATTTAAATAAAAGTAATTAACTCCCAAACTTAGGAATTTAAGAATTTCCTTTTCTCCTGCCTGCTGGCCCTCTATTTTTAAGGCAGGTTTTATTGAAAGACATTATGGTAGTGTTAATTTTCCTTTAAAATTTCTGCCATTGTTAGATATCACGTTATGCTGGGATTCAGTGGACATATGCTGGGATACCTGATACAGTTCAATTATTTTGCCAAGTCCTTGACCTAAATTTTGCCAGAGCTACAATCTGATTTAGTACTGTCCCTCTACTTCTAATAAAATATTAAAAAATTAATCTTTCTCTATATTCCTCCATAATTTATCTTTTATTTCATTTGCCTTTCTTCTTCTGTACTGGAATAGTTTATTTTGCAAACTTTATTCCTGTATTGCTCCCAATTACTTTAAATTACTTCATATGTAGAAACAGGATTAAGAATACATTTAGTCATTTATTTCACTCCCAACTTTGAGCGTTAAACATATCTTTACCATCACAATATGATAAATATGTATCTACTTTGACCTTTAGAAAGTGAAATTTTCCTGTCTAATTCACTTCAGGTTTAACTACACAGTCTTAAAAATGCCCTATCTTAAAACATCTATTGTATAGTTAAAACCTATCACTCCATTAATTGTTTTTAAAAATACTAAGATAATTTATATTGAAAATATGAAAGATGGTAAATTTAGTTTTTCTTCTACCCAAAACATGAGAAAGTTAACTTGGTACTTCCTGAGTTCCTTTTAATTGTATCATAAAATCATAGAGCTAGGACAGAAACAAAATGATCTCAGGTTTTAGGGATTAATTATTTCATGTGTAATAGACAAAGAAAAATACCCAGATTTCTTGCACTGTGAAAATCATTGAGCTGTTATAACAATCTGAGATTTCATTTTGAAATTTAGGTTTTTAGATGAGACTTGCATCAAATACCTCTGAATTATAAGAAATAAGAAAGGTCTGCTAATATATAAAAGTTCCCTGGATGTCCTGGTTGTCAGCTTTTATTCAGAGGTCCCAAAGAACTGAGTCTCAATAAATACAATGTTTGGGAAAGTACAGAGTATGGTTTATAGAAAGCATGATTTATCATTATTTTTAAGTTAACTTTACTACTCTGCATTCCTTCTTTTTGGCTTATTTCACTCAGTTTGCTATTTAATCTTTAATTACAGGCCACAAAAGAAGTAATAGAACGGGAAGCGCCAGGGATGGCCCTGGCAATGCTGATGGGATCACTTAATGTTACACCTCTGGGCATGCTCTCTAGGTAAGAAAGTCACCAACATGTTGCAAAGAAAATTAATTCCATACCACTAATCACTACAATAGTCTGATTAATATGAGAAACTTTAGCCAATGACACTTAAATTTGCTCCCTTTTTCCCTCCAGAGTTAAGAGTCTTAGTATCCTGTCTAGATAAATCTTAACCAGTTTCCTTCAAGTTTTTTTTTTCACATATTATCTTTAAACTTTTAGAAAATATTAGATTATGCTAAAAGTTGTCAATCCTGACCCAGAGAAGAGTGCAGTTTATTAAGATGTAAAATTATTTTTGTATGTGATTATTTGTAATCATCAATTAATATTCATTAATTGTCATTAAATGCTAATTTAATAGCCGTAAACAGAATTTTTTTTTCAGTAAGTTATTCTCATATGTTAGAAATTTTTAAATAGGCATATTTATGTGTGGTCATAAAAAGCTAAATTAATATTATTAGTGTTTTAAGTTAGTATATTTAAAACTGCCTTTGTTGACATAGATGTTGACATCCTTTCTCTCTGATGTTTTAGTTATTTGTTATTGTTTTAGTAACTTAGATTAAAATTTTCTTTAATGAGGACAGCATACATCATTTAAGTTAAAGACAGAAGTATCAACTTAGTGAGAACCTGTTGACTTAATAGGTTGACATTGATTAATAGACAGTTGATCTCTGAGCAATCTAAAAATACACGACAACATTATAATTTAGGGATTCATAATCATCATGTATAGCCATTTATTCATCCTGTGTACAATATGAATACAAAACTAAATATATCTATGTAACGGTAACACATGGAATATGAATCATAATGTCCTTTCTGTTACTTAGACAGGGTTTATATCCCATTAATGGCAGTTACTTGAAGCACAGCTACAGGGAAATGTGAATGGGTCATTAGTTACTATATTCTCTTTGCTGTGACATGTACTATAACATTTAATTTCAGTAAGAGCAAAAAAGAATTATAGTAGCATGTAGAAATTGTAAATTTAAAAGTCCATGCTGATCTTTAAGGAATTTGCATTGATTCTTTTAAGCTGTTCTTTTTTTAACCATATCTACATTTCTGAGGTCAAGGGTCACATTTGATCCCTTTTCTCTGTGGAATTAAGCAGTGGCCTTTGGACATAAAAGAACATTTTGTTGGCATATAAGGAATATGGTCAAGAAAAAATTAAACTTCACCTCTTGTTGATTCTTTTATAATAAAAATCTAATTGAGCAGAAATAATCTCTATTTGCCAAGCCCTGTATTAACCATTAGGGATACTAAGGATAGAAAGAAAAATAAGGCATAATCCTCACCTTAAGGATCCCAGAGTTTACTTGGAGAACTTGTTCTTTGCAACTGTTAAGGTAACTCTTTAAGTTCAATATAGCTTTTTTTATCTAGTATAGAAATATCACTTTCCGTCTTATTGAAAGATTTTTCTGGATTAATTCCTCTTCTACCTTCTGAATCCACATAATTCCTGAGCACTGGACTATTGAGTGAGTAGAAATTTAATCAGCAGGAGGTGATTCTAAGTACTTTGGAATAAGTCTATCGTCTTTATGCTGAAGGCTTTGAAAATTAAAATAATTACACAGGATGGTAACAGATTCTACTTGCTTTTCTTTCTGTTCATTGCTTATTTAATGGAGAGTTTATTTACAAGTTTAAAGCAGAGATAGTAGTCTGTGTGTATCATGCATAAAAAATTGTGGAATATTTTCCTAACTGTTCATTTTTTGTGAGCAAGGCCTTTTTTCAAGGCCTTTTAAAGATATTACTGTCTTAAAACAGCCATGATTATATTGATGTTTCCTTTCTTATATCATTGTTACCTTGTATGTACTTTGGGCTTTGTACATGCTTCTGTTATAGCACATGCTATATTGTAATTATATACTTATTTGACTGTATTACCTAATTTGTATAAAATCCTTAAGAACAGGAGCTTTATCACATTCATTTTTACATCCTCAGACCCCAAAACAACTTCTGACACATAGTAAGTACTCAAAGAATGTTTATTATTATGATTATTGTTGATAAATCAGTGTTTCATGCTCATTCTATATAATTTTTTTCAAGGTAAAGTAATACAAGTTGTTGCCTTCCTATTTTTTCATCTCTAGAAAACAGCATTAAATAAAAATAATTTTCTAAATTTCTAAATCTGCTTAAAATGGTTTTTATCTATTTGATTAACTAAATAAACTCAAGTTATACAACTTGTAACTTATAACAACTTAGTTACAAGATAGTATCAAGTAATAGTTAAGAGCATCATCTCTGAAGCCACACTGCTTGGGTTCAGTTCTGACTCTACTACTTACTAGCTACTTAACATCTTTTTTGTTTTCATTTTCTCATGTGTATATGAACATGTTAATAGTAACAACCTTTTTGGATTGAATCCATATAAAGTGCTTAGAACAACAACTGATTCATAATAAGTCTTATTTAAGTGTTGATCACTGCTGTGGTGTTTTATTGGTTGAGAGCATGACAACGCCTTCAGTAGCTTTTCTTCATAGTAGTTATTTCATCTAGAAATATTGTCATTCTACCTTCATTCTTGAAGGATATTTTCACTAGATGTAGAATTCTGGATCAACAGTTATTTTCTTTCAGCACTATAAAAAAAAACATTATTCCACTGTCTTCTGGCTCTATGTTTCCTACCAAAACTTAAGTGATTCAGAGAAAGCAAGGCTAACAGGGAAAGCTATAGCTGTAAAAGCTTACATTTAAAAAAAAGGAAGATCTCAAAAACAACTACATAACATTACAACTTAACTAGAAAAAGAACAAATTAAACCCAAAGCTAGCAGAAGGAAGAAAATAATAAAGATTAAGACAGAGATAAATAAAATAGAAAATGTAATGACAATATAGAAATCAACTAAACCAAATACTGACTCTTTGAAAAGATGGACAAAATTGAAAATTTTTAGCTTATATTGGCTAAGAAAAAAAAGAGACAAGACTCAAATTACTAAACTCAGAAACAAAAATGGGGACATTACTACCAATTCTATAGAAATAAGTACTATAAGAGAGTACTATTAACCATTGTATGCCAGTAAATTGGATAACCTAGATGAAATGGACAAATTCCTATAAACACAAACCCTATGCAGATTGAATCAGAAAAAAATAGAAAATCCAAATAGATCTGTAACAAGTTAGATTCAATCAGTAATCAAGAACCTGTCTACATATAAAATGGCTGTATCAGATGTCTTCACTGGAGAATTCTACCAAACATTTAAAGCATTTTTTTTTTAATTTTTTTTTCAACGTTTTTTTATTTATTTTTGGGACAGAGAGAGACAGAGCATGAACGGGGGAGGGGCAGAGAGAGAGGGAGACACAGGATCGGAAACAGGCTCCAGGCTCCGAGCCATCAGCCCAGAGCCTGACGCGGGGCTCGAACTCCCGAACCGCGAGATCGTGACCTGGCCGAAGTCGGACGCTTAACCGACTGCGCCACCCAGGCGCCCCTCTACCAAACATTTAAATGTGTTTTTCTCCTTTATCTTACAACTGTGGTATATTACCTTGATTGCTTTTCATATGCCGAACCATCCTTGCATTCTAGGGATAAATTCCACTTGGTCATGGTGTATAACCCTTTTAATACACTGCTGAATTTGTTTTGCTAGTATTTGTTGAAGATCTTTACATCAATGTTCATAAGGGACACTGGCCTGTAGTTTTCTTATCTTGTTCTTTGTCGGGCTTTGATATTAAGGCAATGCTGGCCTCATAGAATTAGTTAGGAAGTCCCTTTTCTTCTGTTTTTTGGAAGAGTTTGAGGAGGAATGGTGTCTGTTTTTCTTTAAATGTTTGGTGGAATTATTTAAGCTAATTGTAGATTGGCATGCAACTGTAAGAAATACTGCTTAGAAATGCCATGCACCTTTATCAAGTTTTCCCCAATGGGAACAATTTGTAAAACTAGCACAAAATTAAAATCAGCATATTAACATTGATGCACTGAAGATAAAGAACAATTCCATCACCACAAGGATTCTCCCGTTGTCTTTCTTTTGCCATACCTACCTATCTCCTACCCAGCCTTTCTGTCCAAATCTTTGACAACCACTAATCTGTCCTCCATTTCTCTATTTTGCCATCTTGAGAATTTAACTAAGTAGAATCATGTAGTATGTAACCTTTTTGATTGTTTTTTTCCATTCAGCATAATTCCCTAGAGACTCAAACGATTGTTACATGAATCAACAGTCCATTGGTTTTTATTGCTGAGTATTATTCCCTGGAATTGATGTATCATAGTTTGTTCTACCATTTTTCTATTGAAGGACATCTGGGTCATTTCCAGGTTTGGCTTTTATGAACAAAGTTACTCTGAATTTTGTTTACAGGTTTTATTAACAGAAATTTCTGTTTTTCTGGGATACATACCCAGAATACAGTTGCTGGGTCATATAGCAGTTATGTGTTTACTTTTATGATAAACTGCCAAATTATTATCCACAATAACTGTACCATTTTATATCCCCACCAACAATGTATGAGTGATTTGTTAAATTTACATTATGGTTTCCTTTTGGTAGTGTACATCCTATGTGTTTGGCAAATGTATACTGACATATATTCATCTTTATGGTATCATACAGAGAATTTCACTGTCCTAAAAATCCTTTGTGCTCTGCCTATTCATCCCTCTTTCCTTTTCAGTACCTGGCAACCACTGACCTTTTTCCTGTCTCCATTGTTTTGACTTTTCCAGTATGTCATCTAGCTGGAATCATATAGTATGTAGCCTCTCTAGATTAGCTTCTTTTGCTAAATAATATGCATTTAAGCTTCCTTTGTGTCTTTTCATGACTTAATAGCTCATTTCTTTTTAACACTGAGTGATATTCCATTGTCTGGATGTACCATTTATTTATCCATTCACTTACTGAAGGTCATCTGGTTGCTTCCAAGTTTTGGCAGTTATGAACAAAGCTGCTGTAAACATCCATGTGCAGATTTTT